AGCATGCTACAGGCCTAATATCAGTACCCTGGGCCTTTTGGTTATTGAGAAGAAGTTGTTTGAAGATTTTAACATATTTCAACCCCTGTGACCTTGAAAGTTGGTCAAGGTCATTCATTTGAACAAACTTGGTAGCCCTTCATCCCAGCATGCTACAGGCTTAATATCAGTACCCTGGGCTTTTGGTTATTGAGAAGAAGCTGTTTGAAGATTTAAGACATCTGACCCCAATGACCTTGAAAGTTGGTCAAGGTCATTCATTTGAACAAACTTGGTAGCCCTTCATCCCAGCATGCTACAGGCCTAATATCAGTACCCTGAGCCTTTTGGTTATTGAGAAGAAGTTGTTTGAAGATTTTAACATATTTTAACCCCTGTGACCTTGAAAGTTGGTCAAGGTCATTTATTGAACAAACTTGGTAGCCCTTGATCCCAGCATGCTACTGGCCAAATATCATCTTCCTAGGCCTTTTGGTTATTGAGAAGAAGTTGTTTAAAGCAAAAAGTTGACGTCGGACAGACGGACGACGGACGGACGGGCGACGGATGCCGCACCATAACATAAGCTCACTTGCCCTTCGGGCAGGTGAGCTAAAAATACCGCCCTGCAGCATCTATTTTGAAAAAAATTGGCCTGAGAACCAAGTGATTAATTTTATTTGGCTTGACTGACAGACAGAGAGCAAATCTACGTATATTCCCTTCCAGTACTGATGGGGAAATAATATTAAACATAAGAAATTTTACATTTTAACATTAGGCTTAAAATAACAAGAGGATCCTTCAGTAAAGATGTGATCCACTATGAAGTCATAACCAAAAGTACTAAAAATCATACAAAAATATGTTTCGATAGAATTTACTATTAGACACAATTTAAAACTCTGTAAAACCCTTCCCTCAAACACATGATGTTGACTTAAGCAGATGTACCTATCATGATAGTTATTGTTTTGTAAGCATCATACCGCGATACATACCATATCATGAGGTACGCATATTGTTTCATCCCAGGTTATTCCGTCTTTGCATATTGCAGAGTTATCTTCTCTTGGTATTGATTGTTATGTCATTGGTTTATGAGAGTAACGTCATCAATTTTTGAGAAAACGACGTAGTTTTCTCACCCAAACCAATGACGTAACAATCAATACCTGCTCACAAGAGAAGATAACTCTGCAATACGCAAAAAAGACGGAATACATCCATGATACTATCAACAAAGAACTATTTTATCTATTTTATAAGTCATTTAATTTTACTGATCATAAATTCTACAGTGGGTTTTCTGCACTTGTCCTGGCAGTCCTTACAGGGTTCAGTTAGCAGAAACTCAACATTATTTTTTTTATTATTTTAGACTTCGGGTTTATTTGAGAGAAACTGCACAGCATTGCTAAATGCCATGAGGCAAATATTTGGCAGGATTTGAAATGAGTAGTCCACAGTACCTGTAGCATTCTGTTTTTTGGAGGCTTTGGGAACATTGTTGGGTATACGTCCCTCTAAGGGAAGATCGGATGATCCATTGAGGGGTGTGGCAACACCTGAACTCCCATTGGACGATAACAGGAGAGGAACTGCAGGTGACGCTAAGATACTGGTGGCACCTTCAAAATAATCCGTACATTGTGAAATTAATATTTTTACAATTAGTTGAGGAATGCTTCGAATTTGGAGATAATGAGGATATTTTTTTGTTTCTATTTATCTGTGAAAGTTTCGTTCAATTTCAGAGATAATGAGGATAATTTTTGTTTCTATTCCCATTTTCAAACAGGGTCAAATGATGCTAAATGCTATTTTTTTAACATTATAATAATAATAATTTGAGGTTCTTATGTACAGCTTTATCACAATTACCTAGTTCAAAGGACATCTCAAAGCGGTTCACAAATTATTATCCGTAGTTATTAAGGGTCTTTGCAACCAGCCAATATCTTTCTCAACTCCCTGGAGAGCATAACACCAATGCTGCCAATTTAGCGCTCACAGCTAACATTCAACAATTCTAGCACTACCCAATCATGTACTCATTTACAGCTGAGTAGACTGGAACAAGCGGAGTAAACTATCTTGCTCAAAGATACAAACAGTGCCGTGCCGTGACTCGAACCCGCAACCTTTCGGTCACGCGCCCGGCGTCCTACCACTAGACTACCGTGCCTCCGACTACATTGCCAATGGTTAATCCAATGACATCGAGACTGCAATTCAACATTAGAACAATATCAAGTTTTCTTACAGTAAAACTGTAATCAAAGTTTTGCCTGAAAATACTTTAATTATCAATCAAGTTACGATTCACTTACTTGACACGACCGGGCTGATACGGCTGCCACTTCGAGACTTGTTAAATAAGTTCCCTGGAATTGGCAATCTGTAATCAGAAAAGGTACTGTTGTTGTGAGAATATGTCAAAACCTGCCTCAAATACCACCTGTGTATAAAGTCCAGCTGTCTATAAGGTACAGCACCATCTTAAAAATACACCTAAAACTTTTCCTATTCAGTAAAATAACTGTATGTATAAAGACCAGAAGCCTTTATGAATTGTAAAATCTTTAAATACCTTCATTTTATATATATTCTATATTTTTTAAATACCACCAAAAGCCAAAAGGACGTTAAGCACTCACAATCAAACCAAAACATTTTTCCTGTAAAATATCACTTGTATATAAAACCAAACAGTCTATAGAATTAGATACCATATCCACTCTCCCATTTAGAAGAGAGGTTTGTGTACTTGTTCAATGTTTTGTATTATATTTAGGGCCAATTCTTCCTCGATACTCCAGGGGTTATGTTACCTTCACCCCTGGGATACATCATAGCAAAATTAAAGGCTCACAGCTAGCTATTTGATTGATCTCAGGTAAAAAGACCTGATGAATCGCTAGGCTGATACCTTTCCTTTGAAGATTCCAGAGGAATGACTAATCAAGCTTCAAAGCCAGTCAATTTTACTGTTATGTTACAGGGAAATTCTTTTGATGTAAATCAAAGGATCAAAATATTCTTCTTGTGTCATCCACGAACAATGAGGTAGCTAACAACGAGGAAGCGAAAACCGAGCCTTCAATTTTTGCCAAGACATATTCCAGGGATGCAGAGAGCATATAAGTGATCATAACCCCTGGAGTATCGAGGATAGGGCCAATTGGTCGGTCAAAAGCTGATACAGTTATATTTGTAATATAAATAATCTACAACATCAAAATTGTAGGTGACACTCAACTGTTATGCACAGCAAACTTAAAGAGGCAGAACTGTGTATTATGGTGGGAGGCTAGAACACACACACATACTGTACAAATAAACCAACATCCCATGATGAGGTGCTTACAAAAAAACCGGAAAGTATGGTTGTCACTATCAACTGAGTTATGCCCTAGAAAAAAATAATGCACAGTGGACTTGGGGCTTTAACTCATTCACCCCTGAAATTTCATAATGAACTATTCCAACCTTTGAATTGGAACAGTTCAAATGTGTCTTCAGGGGTGAATGAGTTCACTCCACTCCGAAACTCTACGTTCCACTACGCTATCGGACTAGAATTAAAAATCTGGTTTTAACCAGACTGCAAATTGTCAGAACTAAACACAAGGTGCAAATTAAATCTACTGAAGTCTCAGTCTGAGTGGTAGTGCTGACGGGGAACTTAAAATGTCAATTCATTTTCTCCAATGATCATGTCATGCAGATGAACATAGCTTCTTTAAACATGTTGTTCGTCACAACTCCTCACAATTGTAACTAAAATCCATCCATAATATCATTTTATGAAGAAGAAAAAAAAATCCACATTGCTATACAACTTACAGTCGTTTGTACTGAGGATATCGTCGCATAATGAAGTTCTGCATTTAGGCTCTTGATAAAATCCAGTTACCGCAACTGGGAAACATGTAAAACAACAGGCTTATGATCCCATGAAGACACCAAACCAATTTCCTTGCAGACTTCTCCAATTATTTTCAGTATTTCACAATGTTGGCCAATGCAGCCTGTCTGAGAGTCTGAGACGCAACCATACTTAAACCACAAGGAACTGTATCTCTAAACCAAGTATATCATCAGATAGAGAACTCATTATAAACAGCAGGGAAAAGAAAAAGTACCAATGTATACCATGAATACCATGAATACCATGTATACCAATGTATACCAATGTATACCAATGTATACCATGTATACAATGTATACCAATGTATACCATGTATACAATGTATACCAATGTATACCAATGTATACAATGTATACCAATGTATACCAATGTATACAATGTATACCAATGTAACCAATGTATACAATGTTTACCAATGTAACCAATGTATACAATGTATACCAATGTATACCATGTATACCATGTATACCAATGTATACCATGTATACCATGTATACCATGTATACAATGTATACCATGTATACCAATGTATACCAATGTATACAATGTATACCAATGTATACCAATGTATACAATGTATACCAATGTAACCAATGTATACAATGTATACCAATGTAACCAATGTATACAATGTATACCAATGTATACCATGTATACCATGTATACCAATGTATACCATGTATACCATGTATACCAATGTATACCATGTATACCATGTATACCATGTATACCATGTATACCATGCATACCATGTATACAATGTATACCATGTATACAATGTATACCAATGTATACCAATGTATACCAATGTAACCAATGTATACCCCAATGTATACCAATGTAACCAATGTATACACCAATGTATACCATGTATACCAATGTATACAATGTATACCAATGTATACCAATGTATACAATGTATACCAATGTATACCATGTATACCATGTATACCAATGAATACCATGAATACCATGTATACCATGTATACCATGTATACCATGCATACCATGTATACAATGTATACCATGTATACAATGTATACCAATGTATACAATGTATACCAATGTATACCAATGTATACCAATGTAACCAATGTATACCAATGACACTTTGTTTTACTGTAAGATGACAAGATACTGAACAAGAAAATAAAATGTTCAACAACATTCAAGAAATTACAACAGACATCAATATGATGAGCATTTTCACAAACTTCTGAGAGATAATAAAAGATTTGAAATACTTTTTATTCCAAGTTTACCGGCAGACCAATAATACAGTGTATCTTCACATCGCTCCCATTTACTGATATGTCGCATTCAACATATCAGTAAACGGGAGTGATATGAAGATATAATTTTAATTAGTTTGACAGTGTGTCAAGATTACATTTTAAAAGTTACTTATAGGCATTTTCTAGAATTTAATTCCAACGAAAATTCATTAGTCCAGCTTAACATCGTAAGAATTTAGAAATACAAACTGTATCTTTTCTGAAATAACATTGTCATAATGAAACTGGTCCATTTGAAATATTACATAATATATGCATTCTAGATTCCAATAAGAATTAAGCAGATTTAATAAATGTACAAAACCATTTATCAAGTTTAATAATAACTAATTATAAATTGTTCTCAAATATCAGTCAAACTATTGCTAAACATCTGCAAATACTACAGTATATAGTATGTATACCTCTTATATAAGATCACAGGAAATATCTTTTGGGATCAAACTTTTTCAAAAGGATATTACAATGATGAATATGCAATAAAAAAAAGTCCCTTTAATTACTCTGAAGGTTTTTGAGGAAACAATAAATTCATTACACTATAAATATCATATGCAATAATAGTTTAGTGGAGGGCAGTATTTCAACTCTCAAGGATGCAAAAATTAATATTCACAAATTCACATCAGGGCTTGAGTTTAGAAAAATTGGTTACTGATCCACAGGGCCAGTTGAAGTAAATATCCAATGGTCCTGTTTGAAGTGCACTGGTCCAGATAACGAGGGCTGCAGGCCCGAGTGAGAGCCAAAGGTACTGACCATACTCTTCTGACCCCTGCCCCCCACCAGAATTTTGAAATCTAGAAGCTCTGTGGTACATCCAGATCCTGGGCTTAAATTTTCGATAATTAACAAAATATCAAATTATCTACTGACCTGGTGTGCAGGATAGCTTGTTGAAAACCAAAGGCCACATGCTAGTTGACCTGAACAGCTAATTCCACCCCTGCACATATTTTTTTAGAAACAGATAATGTATCCCCAAATTAAACATTAATTCATGAGATACAGCATTAGTAACCATCAAAATGATGACAAGAAACAAAACCTTTTCAACCTGACTAACAAAATACCTCTATGCACTAAATAATTACAACGTTTCAACTACCTTAAAGATATTTTCATGACCAAATGTTACATATACAGTAACATAAAATAATCTATCACATCCTTACCTCAACTACGATATGAATTCACATGAAACACTGTTTCAGCCACGAATGACATGCTGCCAATGCAATAAATATTCGAGACAAGTAGATCTACAACCTCGAACATTGATGCTTGACATAAAGACACAACCCAGTATCAGTGATCAAAACACATTACTATGACCAAGCAAGCAGGCAGATCAATCCAGTTATCGTCCTAAAAATGAGAAACTTGATTCCAAAAGTCCTTTTAGCCTAAATCCATGGTACAAAGAGAACTGTCCAGGTGGACTATGAATTATGCATGATTTAAAGCCGTAAGAACTGAAATGTCTGTGTTCTGTAGGGCGCCATGTTAGATTCCAGGTCTGTACAACGTTATGGTAGAAACATAACGGAATTATTGATCCAAACTCTGGGCCCACCGATCACTCCTGATCTAATTCACTAGACAGTTTGACTTGCATGGCTATCAGGCATTCCACTATTACACTGCAATAACAACCCAGATTAGGCGGAGGAAAAGATACATCTGAATTTTATACGAGTGTACCGATATAATTCTGATTTATAAAATGCCAATGTCAAGGGTCAAGTGATGATTTTTAGGTCACCTGAGCTTTGCTCAAGTGACCTATTCCAATCGCTTTTCGTCCGTCGTGCGTAAACTTTTACATTTTCAACTTCTTCTCAAGAACCAGTAGATGGATTTTTTTCAAACTTGGTCAGAATCATCCTTGGTAGATGAGGCTTCAAAATTGTAAAATTGGGATTCCTACCCCAACCCCTGGGGCCAGGGCGGGGCCCCAAAGGGAAAATTATCCAATATTTCAAAAATCTTCTTCTCCAGACTCAGAGGTACTACAGTGATTTTCTCTACGTGGAAAGAAAGATCATCAGGGGCTTTACTTAAATTGTAAATTTCAGGACCCCCGAGCTATCCGTTCTCCCTTGGGGAGGGGGTAAAGTTTACTATAGTTTATATAGGGAAATAACACTTTTGGGTATATTTTGACAACTT